CGCGCGCGCGCGCCCATCTCTGTTGCTCTTGCCTTGCCGCACTGCTCACCTCTGTTGCTCTCGGCACCTCTCTCTCTCTCTCTCTCTCTCTCTCTCTCTCTCTGTGTGTGTGTGTGTGTGTGTGTGTGACTCGATTCTATCCTTCTCTCTCTCTCTCTCTCTCTCTCTCTCTCTCTCTCTCTCTCTCCCATCTCTGTTGCTCTTGCCTTGCGCACTGCTCACCTCTGTTGCTCTCGGCACCTCTACACGTGTACACTTGTCCATGCATGCACAAAGTCGTGCCATAACGCCCCACCACGACGAACGAACCATATCCTCGAAACTGTCGGACCCCCTCCTCTTCCCCCTTCAGCTCATTTGTACTGCTGCCTTCTCTCTCTCTCTCTCTCTCTCTCTCTCTCTCTCTCTCTCTCTCTCTCTGTGCGTGTGTGTGTGTGTGTGTGTGTGTGTGAGAGAGAGAGAGAAAGATGTGGAGTACAGCCGTGAACATACCATTATAGACAGTGGGAGTTGGCTTGACGTAACATGGAAATCTGGCACTGGTACCCATAGGCTCTCCGGTAGGGGCATACTGGAAATTTGGCACTGGTACCGGTAGGGGCATATTGAACATATTTCAGGCCCAATTGACGCCAGGGTTTTTTTGGAAACTTGAATCGTTGTCGGAGGCGCAAATCAGGGTAAGTCGGTCGTCGGAGGGGCAAATCGCAAATAAATGCAAACTTCAGGGGCATTTCAAAAATTTTCCCTTTTCTGTTTTGCTGTAAAGAAAAAGATTTTGGTACCGAATGCCAGTAAATGGTCTTTTTCTTTTTCTTTTTCTCTTTTGCTCTAATCAAACTCTTTACTGGTCATCATCACGGATTCATCATCATCAGAAGATTCTTTTTTCTTCTTATTTAAAAAAAAAAAAAATTATCATCAGAAGAAGATTGATTGTGCATTATTGACTTTTTTTGGTAATGTTTTTATATTTCGGTTATCATCATCATCATCATCATCCGAAGAGGAAGAAGATTGATTGTGCATTAATAGCAGCATTATTGACTTTTCGATTCGATGCATTTTTACGTTTTCCCGACCAGGTTCAGCAAGTTGACTGTCATTCACACTCCGCCTGCCCTTGACTTCTTGGCCGCTGTCGTGCTGTCTCTATACCAACCAATCAACCCAAGAAACTGGCAGCTGTCTTTTTTTTTTCCCTCCTTTTTTCTTCAACTGTACATAATGCTTTTCGGTTTGATTATTATTATTATTATTATTATTATTATTATTATTATTATTATTATTATTATTATTATTATTATTTGTATTTTTCAAAACTAGAGAAGTTTGATTGTTATCGTCGTCCTGATCATAATCATCATTCTCATCATCATAATGATGTGATTGTGTTTCCTTATTGACTGACTTTTGCTCCGGATTATGATCTATCAATATATGCATCTGTACGTTTTTCCGTCCAGGTTCAGACGTGGGAGGATCTTATAATGATATGATTGTGTTTCCGTATTGACTGACTTTTGCTCCGGATCATGATCTATCAATTTATGTATGTGTACGTTTTTCTGTCCAGGTTCAGACGTGGGAGGATCTTATAATGATGTGATTGTGTTTCCTTATTGACTGACTTTTGCTCCGGATTATGATCTCTGAATTTATGTATCTGTACGTTTTTCCGTCCAGGTTGAGACGTGGGAGGATCTTATAATGATGTGATTGTGTTTCCTTATCGACTCAATTTGACTGACTTTTGCTCTGGATTATGATCTGTCAATTCATGTATTTGTACTTTTTTCCGTCCAGGTTCAGACGGTGGAGGATCTTACATATTATCATACCAGTACCAATCAACCCCCCCCCCCCCCCCCAAAAAAAAAAAATGGCGCCTTACGACCCCTCCACCGATTGCGGTAATTGGACCCTTGCTATGGATAACGTCATGAGTTCGATCCGCCAGCAGAAGACCGATTTGGACCGATACCTCTTGCTGCGTGAGCTTCGCGAGAAGGATGAGAACCTCTTCTACCGAGTGTTGATGACCAACGCGCAGGAGCTGCTGCCGCACGTGTACACGCCGACGGTGGGAGAGGCATGTCAAAAATACAGCAAATTGCCAATCAAGACACATGGCATCATCCTCACGCCGGCGGACAAGGGTAAGATTCTGGACAAGCTGAAGGCATGGCCTGAGAAGGATATCAGGGTGATCGTGGCCACAGATGGAGAGAGGATCCTAGGGCTGGGGGATCTCGGCTACAACGGGATGGGAATCAGCGAGGGCAAGATCTTGCTCTACTCGATAATTGCAGGGGTAGATCCGCAAGTGTGTCTGCCCATCGGCATCGATGTGGGTACTAACAACCAGTCGCTGCTGGATGAACCGGAGTACAAGGGGTTGAGGCAGAGGCGCCTCCGTGGGCCCGAGTATGAGGCGCTGATTGATGAGCTCCTGACCGCTGTGCGCGCCCTCCCCTCTCACGTGCTCTTCCAATTCGAGGACTTTGGCAACACCACCGCCTTCAAGCATTTGGCTAAGTACCGGGGCGTGCAGTGCTGCTTCAACGATGATATCCAGGGCACGGCTTGCATCACGCTGGCGGGAATTCTGTCGGCGCTGAGGGTGACGAAGCAGCCGCTCGGCGCGCAGCAGCGAGTGCTATTCCTCGGCGCGGGAGAGGCGGGGACTGGCATCGCCGAGCTCATTGCGATGGCCATCGTCAAGCGGACCGGGATCCCGATCGAAGAAGCGCGAAAAGCGTGCTTCTTCATGGACTCCAAGGGGCTGGTCTGCAAGTCGCGACTGGCGGAGCTGCAGCACCACAAGATCCCGTTCGCGCACGACATCCCCTACCAGTCCTCCCTCGTGGATACCATCAAGACCATCCGACCGACGGTGTTGATTGGCGCGTCGACCATGGCCGGCGCTTTCACGAAGGAGGTGGTGGAGCTGATGTGCGAGATCAACGAGCGCCCGATCATCTTCCCGCTGTCGAACCCGACGTCCAAGGCGGAGTGCACGTACAAGGACGCTTTCGAATGGAGCAAGGGGAAGGTGGTGTTTGCCAGCGGCAGTCCCTTCGCTCCTCTCGTGGCTGCTGACGGGACAACGCACTACCCTGCACAGGCCAACAATGCTTACATATCCTTTTTTCAAATGCTTTGAGACACCAAGCAACAGGCAAGAGAAAATATCTCTCTCTCTCTCTCTCTCTCTCTCTCTCTCTCTCTCTCTCTCTCTCTCTCTCTCTCTCCCCGCAAGATGCTGCCGATGCGAAAACGCACTACCCGTCCTTTTTTTTTTTTTTTTTTATAAATCCCAGGGTGTTGTAGAGGCCGGTTACTAGGTACACATTGTTCTCCAAGAGCAGCCAGCCATGGTCGTCCTGAGGGAACGGGGCTACCTTCCCATCCCATCCTCACATCAATACTCCTAGCGCACCCCCTATCTCTACTATCCTACCTCAGTGTGACCAGCACTCAGGACCATTCACCCTATCGAGGGGACCTTGGACTGAACAGCAGTGACAGGCACCAGGGCTAGCCATGACCCAGCCCTGATGGAAGCGGAGTAGACCGAGCCAAGGCCAGGCCCAAGCAGTTCCCTACTAGCCCCTAAGTTTTTTTTGACCAACTGGTAACTCACGCCCTCTACTCGCCCACCACAGTAGTTGTAGATTTTAAGGCGGGGTACTTATCCTCGAAACGCCTATCGTCACCATCAGCTAATCCAGACCAACCAGTGACTCACGCCCTCTACTCGCCCACCGCAGCACTAGTCTGCCACACACAGTCTACAGTCTAGCTGATATTAAGGGGGGTACTTATCATCGGTACGCCTATCATCGTCAGTAGTTGATCAGACCTACCAGTGACTCACGCCCTCTACTCACCCACCACTGACCTAGGGCCGGTACTTATCATCGAATGCCTCATCATTATCAGTTGATTGTGACCTCCTCCCAGCCCAATGGTTGTGTATGTATGTTCGTTTGCCCGTGGGCTATGTGTATGTTCGTAATGTGTATGTGGACCCGATTTTTATAGCAGACCCTGCTCCCCACCATGGAGCATCTGCGAGGTGAGTACTGAGTACTGGTGAGAGGTGCCTTCATACCTCCACTAGTACTTGTGTAAAGCTATGTGTGTATATGATTTGTGATAATCTATGTATCGTGGTTGTGCTATCTGGGGGGTTATCTCTGTGTGTAGGTGTATGTGGTACAGACTGGTCTATCTGGATAGGACTCCCCCCAAAGTCCGGAGCCGGACTCGAACCTGTGACGTACAGTATGAAACTTGAGGGTTCTACCACTCGTACTTCCGTAGGAAATGGATATAATATGTGTAATGTCTGGGCTGGGGGAAATCATCAGAGCGACCAAAGCCAACAACAACTGGCAACCGACGTGAAGTCTAGGCCGGCATATACCACCCATGGACTGACCCGCGGGTGGTGCGTAGGCAGTGTCTGTAATATTACCATGCATCATCCCGGGGGAGTGTGTCCAGCCGTGCGTCACTCTAACGCCCTGCCGGTGTCCATGCGCAAGGCTGCGGAGTTTTGAACCCGCAACCTCATACCACAACGCGCATTTCCAACCGGTGCTCTAACCACTGAGCTACATCAACTGGACAAGCACTACCGGTCCTTCGGGACATCCGTTAACATTGGAACGATACAGAGAGAAGGGGAATATTAGCATGGGCCCTGCGCAAGGATGACATGCATAAATCGAGAAATGGTCCACAAAAAAACACTACCCTGCGCAGACTTTTCCAAATTCGTTCACGTGAGCCCCGAGGTCCCACGAGGTAGCAAAGAGGAGGATTGGATTAAGCGGCTGAATCTGGATGTGTTATAGGCAGGGATGCAGAACAGCAGACCGATGGCAAGTTTCCCTACCTCCTCCACAAACACGTCCAGATGCAGGCGTTCAATCATCAAATTCGTTTTGTAAAAATTTTTCCTTTTTTTCATTTCGCAGGCAAATTAATTCTGGTGGTTTGCATACATCATATTCGTTTTTTTTGTTGTCGTCATCCGCTTGTTTTTTATTATATGGTGGTCAGGAGTTCGAACCCACAGGTGGAAAGAAACTAGCGTAGGAAAGAGAGGAATCTGATTGGATCGAACTCCTGGATGAATGTGGAGCTGTTTGTGGACTGGTGCAGAGAGCTAGGGGCTGGCAAGGTCCTTCAAAGGCGACCCATTTATAGACCCTCTTCTGAAAGCCTGGGCGCATTTGGACTGATCTTGAATGTATCGGGATGATTACCTGTGCACTGGGTGGGCGATTTGGACCAGAATATTCCCCCGTGGAGCGAGGCCAATTGTCGGGTTTTTTTTTTTTTTTTTTTTCCAAACCACCAGTACTTCCTAAAGTAGTGAGAACAGCGAAGTCAGAGACTGACTTGTAAGCATAGCCCACACAACCATGAAACTCACGTCTTCCGATATGTGAAAATCTCGAAAAATCAATTCTCAAAGCGTAGGATCATAGTTCAACACCGCTGCGAGCCATAGCAAGCTATGGCGTCGCTCTCCTTCCACCATCAGATAGGTGTCCTGGAAAGAAGAGAAAGTGCCTGGCCGTCCCCGACTAGTTTCGGTTGCCTGCCGCCAGATAGCTACCCCATCAGGGGGGAGAAATTCCGAGATGATTGACGCCTACAGTCTAATCTACTTATGCTAGTGAAAATATCGGAAGGCGCTTACGTCTGTCCCCTCTGCAAGATCGCCCGCCCAATTTCGCGGCCAGGCCCAGCACTCGCCCCTCGCACCAGCAATTCCCCTGCCCGTACCTGGTCAAAATCGCGTACCCTTTCATTCGGTGTGTCATGGTCCGGTACCCCTTCTTCGGGTCCCACCACACCCTTCCCCCAAGCCGCCCTTCCGGGTAGTACTGAGTCGAAAACCCCCACCCTATCGGTCGCCCTTCCTGTCCGAGGCTTCGGGAGTTCGAAACCCTCCCTCCTTTATTAAAGACTCACCAAAATAATGTCACCATACGTTAAAGAATGTAATCATTATCCGTTAAAGACTCACCCATAGAATAAAGTTCAGTAAACCGATATGATGATAATATTCCTTAAAACCCCCATCTTAGCAAGGTTGCCCATCATCTATGATGATAAAGTAGCGCCCGAAGAACAAGCCACGATTTTAGGAAATGTACGGGCCGCTGAAGGAGGTCCAAATTCGTCCGACTAGAAAGGTTTCTACTCTATTTTGTTCCCGCTGCCAATAGCTCGGCCAAGTACTGGTGGTTCAATCTAAATTTAATTTAGAACATTCCTTGGAATCCTTCGATCCTGTGGTGGTGTGAGAACCAGCAGGATCGAGGCCTCTGGGTGGATGACTTCAATTAATCTATTGGTGGGGACCTGCACCTGCTGGAAACAGGGTCCAGACCGTCCCTTATAACAGGGTAGGGGTAGGTACATCCATAGTAACGAGAATGTCTTGGGGCTGTCAGATCTCCCCATTGTTTTTTTTTTTTTTTTTTGATCTCCCCATTGTCGTGCTTGCCTTGGGCAGTGCGCCCGATGTAAACAATGGCAGTCTCAAACAAAAAAACAAAACAAAAAAACAGAACAAAAAAAAGAAGAAGAAGAAGAAGAAGAAACTTCAAGAAAGACAAAGAAAGAAGAGAAAAGAAGGTATCCCACTTCTTATAGGCGAGAGGCACTTTTTGGTAAATTTTGGGATCCCACTTCTTTCCGCGAGAGCCGGAGGTGGCCAGCCCTTTTTTTTCAAATAAGTGGAAACAGCCTAGTACGTGGCAGTGTGCGTGCGATTTGAGGACCCGTAGTTCTTTCAAAAATAAAAAAGACGCCACCCTTGTACTCTGCACCATGAAAGAAGGTGCCCTTGTTTTTTTCTTCCCTTTTTTTCCCCCTGATGTGCTTGGATCCTCGAGGCGCCACAAGATAGTGCCGCCGCTCCATTAGGAGAAGTCCCCATGTGGGGTCACGTTTTTCTTTCACGTTCCGTGCGCTGCACCTCCACCTTTCGCGGCACTCTTATGTTCTTTCGAAAAAGAAAAGAGGTGGGTGGGATCAGACCGTGTGCACTGTATCTGTTCAGATCAGTTTAAACCACCAGTATACTTCCTAAAGCCGTGCCCGTTAACGCCCCACGATTTCAGGAAACGTATGGGCCACTACAGGGGCGCCCAAATCCATTCTACTCTATTTTTTTCTGCAGCCGATAGCTGGGCCAAGTTCTGGTGGTTTAGTAGCTGATCTGTGGTCCATTGGCCCGCACACGAAAGAAAAAGGAAGATACTTTAAACAGTGAAGTGCGCAAGCGCGCACTTGGGCAGTTGAGCCAAATTCAACTAGTACACTTGAATGGATGGTACACAGTCCATCTTTTCATACCTTTGAAGAACCTGCAGCCATCAAAGAAACAAATAAACAACATGCAGCACATCTAAAAAGGCAATTAATTTGAAATAAATCAATTGCAAAAATAATTAGTGGCATGAAGTACATGAAAATTTGCCAGATGATGTAATTATTGTTGATCAGTGCCCCTAAAAGATGTGAGTAGAGCGGAATGCCCCTCTGACAAAAAACATATTTTGTGAAATACCCCTGGTGTTGGTTGGACCTCCATCTTTGCAATATACCCCTACCGGGTACCGTCCAACTTTGCCAAATGCCCCAGTACTAGCCAACTTTTCCTAGGCGCTATCGCAAAAGGCCAAGGCCCAAATGGGGAGGTCCAGATTGCAAAGTTGCACACCCTCCTGACAGGGGCACAACACAAAGATTTCGGCCCAAAAGGGCATTCCGCTCTAGTACCCACATGTTTCAGGGACATTCTGGCATATATCTCAACTTGTGGGGGTATTTTGCAAATTATCCCTTGATTAATTTGATCAATTATTTTTAATCAATTAATTGGTTAAAATTTTGCATTATTTGATATTATCTACAAACCCCTTTCATATCTCATGAGTTAAATGTCAGCTTATCCATAATATATATAAATATTAAAATATGTATATAAATATATAACTTTTAGGTTTGTATATCTTTCACTTTACTTTTTATTTCAATTCATTGACATTATAAACAGCTTTCCTTATTGTACCTATATCTATATACAAAGTACTCCATCTTTTCATACCTTTGAAGAACTTGCAGCCATCAAAGAAACAAATAACAACATGCAGAACATTTAAAAAGGCAATTAATTTGAATTAAATCAATTGCGAAAATATTTAGGTGGTGAAAGGCAAATAACACTTTGAAGCAGTGCTAAATACCCGGTCCAACAGGGGAGTCCACCCCCAACTGGAACCGGTCCGGTCCCCTCGGCGGCCCACAGCGCATTATAGGAAAAAGGCCGAAACAATTTTTTTTGGGGGCCAGGAGGCCCCCGCACGGGTCGTGGGGGCCTCCTGGCCCAAAAAAAATTCGAACCGGGTAGCGCAGGCCTGCCTATGCGCATCCAAAATGGCGGCCTCTCCGGACCGCTGATCGAGGCAGATCGGCGGCCCAGATGAGGCCGCTGTTTTGAAAGTTGGAGGGAGGGTGGTCCTCCTCGGTTTCCTGCCTTTCAGAGAGAGAGAGTGCCGTCCCTCGGCCACTTTGAGTTGCCCGTTGCCGTCGTCGCCCGTGGCAGCTCCCATCTGTGCATCCAAAACGGCGGCCTCTCCGGACCGCTGGTCGAGGCAGATCGGTGGCCCAGATGAGGCCGCCGTTTTGAAAGTTGGAAGGAGAGCGGTTCTCCTCGGTTTCCTGCCTTTCAGAGAGAGAGAGAGAGTGCCGTCCCTCCGCCACTTCGAGTTGCCCGTTGCCGTCGTCGCCCGAGGCAGCTCCCGCCGCCGCCCTCCTCGTCTTCGTCGTCGCCCGTGGCCGTCACCAGCAGCTCCCCTCGTGCGTTGCCCGTCGCCGTCCGTGGCCAGCAGCGCCCGTAGCGGAGGTAAGTGCCCATTCTCTTCTCCTTCTTCTTCTTCTTCTTCTTCTCACCCAAGCTTACCACTTCCGATTATTAGAGAGAGAGAGAGAGAGAGAGAGAGAGAGAGACTAGGAGAGTCCGCGCATGCAAGAGAGAGAGAGAGAGAGAGAGAGAGAGAGAGAGAGAGAGAGAGAGAGAGAG